AATCTGTACTCAAATTAGTTAAAATATTAATTTTTCACATGGGGACTATGTTGTTGTTGTTAGGTGTCATCGAGTCAGTTCCGACTCATAGCGATCCTTTGTACAACAGAAGGAAATACTGCCTGGTCCGGCACCATTCTCACAGTCTTTTTTCATGCTTGAGCCCATTGTTGCAGCCACTGTGTCAGTCCATCTCATTGAAGATCTTCTTCTTTTTCGCTGACCCTCAACTTTACCAAGCATTATGTCCTTCTCCAGGGGCTGGTCCCTCCTGGTAACATGTGTAAAGTATGTGAGACGAAGTCTTGCCATCCTTGCTTCTAAGTAGCATTCTGGCTGTACTTCTTCCAAGACAAATTTGTTTATTCTTATGGCAGTCCATTGTTTATTCAATATTCTTTGCCAACACCATAATTCAAAGATATCAATTCTTAGGGACTGTGGGGAGGCAGATATGGGAGGGAGGATTGCCAGGAAGTAAGCAATGATTTGGAGTTGGTAAGACCTTGGCGCAGTATCCCTCTAGTAAACAACAACACATCCTTAGGTTGTTGAAGCCACTATATAGGTGGTAGCTGTGATTATATCTTTAGATGCAAAGGACTTTTAGGTTATAAAAGAACAGTATTTGTCAGCATTTTTTTTTTCTTTCTTTTCTTTTCTTTTTCCCCCTCTCCCTTTCTCTTCCCTTTCTTTCTGTCTCTCTCTTTCTATCTTCCCTCCCTCCCTCTCTTCCTTCCTGTCTCCTGTCTTCTTTCATCTTTCTTTTTTTTGTATTTCTAGGGAGAATTTTTTTATTTTCTTCTCATCCCAAGAATATATTTGTATGTTGCTTTTTTATAGTTACAAAAATTCTTATTGCATTTGGTACATTTTGAATATTTGGGAGAATTAGAGAGTGGCTATTTTCCATGAAGAGAAAAAGAAAGACTTACATCATAGCAAATGTATTAAAAAAAGCTTGAATTAAAATTAGAAAGAGTATTTTATTTTTCTTGTCTTTTTTTTTTTTAAATTAGGCAAATTTTCTCACATTGATTGTCCAGAGAACCCAAATTAATGTACTTGTGTTTTTATGTCATCCAGGTCTGGTAGCCTCAGAGTCATTTTGTTGATTGAATGGGAGAATGGAAAAGCGGGTAAAAATCTCCAAAATCTTGAGTAGAAAATCATGTTCAGATATTATCACATCGTTAGTCAGCTCATCACAGTGTCACATTGCAGACAATCCTTTGATTCTTTTCAGTAGCTTTAATGAAATTGTTCTAAGAAGCGCTGTGAAAGGACTTAGGTCTAGTATTTGGATAACTGGACCATCTACTTAAGAAACGTTAGCCAGCTTAAAAGTTCTGCATGTGAGTCTGGGTCTACTGAGAAAGCACAAGATCATCTGGTTTGATATTTTGCTGTAAGAGAAGAGGTAGCATTTTAAAATTTTTGTTACTTAACAAAGAGAACATCAATTCACTTTTGGTAGTTTTTCCAAGATAATATAAAGAATGGGATGCTACTTAAATATTTGGGTGGCACAAACACTTTACTCTCAGCTACTAGGCGAAAGGTTAGCAGTTCAAACCCACCCAGCAGTGCCGTGGAGGGAAAGCCTGACGATTTGCTTCCATAAGGATTACAGCCAAAAAAACCCCGTAGAGCAGTTCTACTCTGTAACAGATAGAGTCGCCATGGGTTGGAATTGACTCAATGTCAACAGGTTTAGGTAGAAATCTAAACAGAGACTAATGAAAAAATTATAAATAATTTTCGTTTGCTTGGATTTTTCTAAGGATACATTTTATATATTTATTTTTTATTCCCATAAAGAAAAAATCACTATACTTTTACATGGTGAAATTAATTGTTCACATTTATGAATTTATGAATATAAGGATAAAAATGTAAACTTAACAAAGACATAATTTTAAAGTTCTGCATGTATTTTCTGTGTTTATGTGAACTTTTTGTTTTTTGACAGTCATTATAGCTTGGTATTCTCTGCTTTTATGATATTGTGCTTCTGATTAAAGGATGCTCCAAATACAGGATTATTAATTATAGATTTCTTCCTAGTTTGAGTAGCCTTGTAAGTGTTATAAGTGATCTCTTTTATGCTACTTTTGCTGATTTTTTAATCTTATGACTATGATGACATTTTCTTCCAGTTTTACAGTCAAATGTCCTTTGTGATTATATAACCAGCGAAAAAGCTATCACTGAGAAGCTGATGCATTATGTAATGATTGCATTAAGAATTCTGATTTTTGTTTGCTTTTAAACAAGTTTACTTGGTAAAACTTTATACTTTTTGTACTAATGAATATCGTATCCAATATACACGTTTGATCAAAAAATTCTTTACTTGATATGTAAAGTTATTGTTTACTGTTGTGGTTTTGCTTTTATTTTTCAAGATCATTGCTATAAAAAGGCCTAGATGGGGGGAAAAAATTGAAAAAGGAGAAACCCTGCAGATCACTAATATTTGATGGGATGTTACATACTTTGGGAAGAAGATTGAAAAGCAAGGGTCATATACCATCAGAGGAATTTGCTAATTAAGCATTTCACTGGAAAAATATTCACCTTGTTGATTAAAATTAGTAGTATGCCAGTCAGTAATATGATTTCATTTTTTTTAATGTGAGCTCAAATTAAAGATTAAAGATAATTAAAAGAGAAAAGTAAATGGTGCTTTATTGAATCTGTAGACTCCAGCATACAGCCATGTCTATTTTTGGATATTCTTAGTTCCCCCCCAAGTATATTGTAAGAACTGCTAGAGTGGTGATAACAAACATTAGAATATACCAAAACCAAACACATTGTCATCGAGTTGATTTCAACTCATCTGACTCTGTAGGACAGAGTAGAACTGCCCCATGGGGTTTCCAAGGTTGTAATCTTTATGGAAGTCAATTGCTACATCTTTCTCCCATGGAGCAGCTGGTGGATTTACACTGCTGACATTTTGGTTAGCAGCCAGGTGCCACTGGGACTCCTTTGGAAAAAAAGGTAGAATAGAGGGCAGTTAAATATCTCTGATTCAGTGTTTTTGTTTTTTTTTTTTAATAAGTATGAAAATAAGTAAAATCTACATCCTACTTCTCAGTCATGCTTGTGACCACTGTGCTTACAAATGATTTAATATCTATCTCTACAGTAACTGGAAAAATGAGAACTGTCATCAGGTAGATTCCCAGTGTTTTGTGGAAATTGCTCACCTTCAGTTAGTGATGGAATTCTTACAGTTTTAACTTTGCACCCTGCCTCGTCCTGGTGGTGTGATTCTGTTAAAGCTGAAGTGTGGGTCCCCTTGCTTTTCATGGTTGATGTACGACCAGTTGTTCTCTTCTAAGAGTCGTTATGATTAACCTTGGCAAACAGTTTTCTGTATCCAGTGCAAATGGAAACTGACACTGTTCTCTGAACAAATATTTAACATCTGAATCTGTTATCAGATAATATTCTGTATCCTAAGGGCACAGTACCCATTGACTAGAAGAAGAGGGGGGAGTGCATAGACAAATACATATAAAAACAACAACAACAAAAAAATGTGATAAATTTTGTGAAACTGCAAGCATAGAGTGTACTAAGAGAACACAGTAGGACCACCTATTCCAGATCGGGCAGGTGGAGGGAGGAAAGAGTAATGAGACAAGGATCAAGGAAGCCTTCCCATAGGCATGAGTCTAGAGGTAATGAACATCTAATCCTGGAAATAGGGAATTGGTACTAGAGTGATAAGATTGCTGTATGCAGTACAGGTAGCTATGTTATATATGTATATCCAGGATAGAACTGAGGATTCTTCCTCCCTCTGTCCCCCTACTTTCTTTCCCTTTCATTTTCCTCATCCCTTAGGCCAGCTTTCCTCCCTTCCTTCTTTCTTTTATTATGGATCTCATTTGCACAGAATTTGATTAATCACGTTGTTATTTATGGCCTTCTGTCATCATTGGACTCTTCATGGCCCTCATTCATTTATTCACTCATTTATAATACTATAAATAATACATAGGAAACATTAATAATTGCTTACACCTACATTTTTGCTTCTCTCCCATTTACCCCTTCCTTACCCCTTCCAAGAGGTAATCATTATGTGGAGTTATTATGTATTATCCTGTTTTTCTCATTTGTTTACTTTGTTTTATGTATAACACACCTAAACAATGCATTGCTTAGTTCAGTTGCTTGTTAACTGAATAAAATGATATTCTGCTCCATGTTATATGCTACGATTTTTTCTATTACACATTATATTAATATGATCACTGTGTTTCTGTGTGTAACTGAAGTCATTCAATTCCATTTCAGTATAATATTTCATTGTGTGAATATACCACAATTTATCCATTCTCCTGTCAATGAGCAATTAGTTACATTGTATGTTGTTACATACAGTGTTGCTCGGAACACTCTCTTACTTGCTTCATAAGACACATGTCAAAAGTTTCTGTATGGTATATATGCCTGGGAATAGAAATGTTGAGTCGTAGGCTCTGCAAAGGTTAAACTTAAAAGATAATGCCAACTTATTTTCCAAAGCTATTGTACCAATTTGTACTCCCATCAACAAGGTATAAGAGCTTATATTGATCCACATCCTCTCTAACACTTAATCTTGTCAGACTAATTTCTATTAGTTGAATGACACATAATATAAATGTTATGTAATTGTGTGAAGTTTTCATTTGAATTTCCCAGATTACTCATGAGGTTGTGCACATCTTAGTATGTTTATTGGTGTTTTCTCTAATCTTTCAATTTTAAGATTCTGAGTCTACACTAGTGAATATTTGTTAAAAAAAAAATTATATTTGCAGGATTTGTAATATTTTCCAATCAGAAAAAGATATTTAGAAAATGGTGGGTAAATTTATAGTAAAGATATGCAATCAAAATGGTTAACAAAATAAAATAATAGGTAACAATTCTATATTGAAATTATTTTCATAACTTATTTTTTCACAGTTTGATGTTTATTTTTCTTTTGACAGAACGATTCCGAGATTTACTACTTCCTTCATCTAGTCAAGACTCTGAAATTCTGCCCTTCATTCAATCTAGGAATTATCCAAAGTAAGCAATAGGAGTTCACTTGGTGTTCAGAAGGGAATAGGCATAGTGCTGGGAGAGATTAGGGAGGGCAAAGACAAAATTTATTCTTTCTTAGGATTTTGGATAAAGCTTGAACAGTCTAACTTAACCAACCAGGGAATCTCCTGCAAAATAATGTTTCATACTCTTCCTATCTGGTTTCATGCTTTCTGTTCTTTAAATTCATTAATTCATTCATATTGTGATAAGTGCTCTTTAAAATGACTACATGTTACTGTATTTTTATGCAAATAATGTGCACTTTCTATGTTTGTTTGCCAAGCACTCCCTTACCCCACAAGGTATTTATATAAGCACTGCTATGCCAGTTTTTTTTACATGTTGGTGTAATAAAAAATTAGCATAGCTTGCTTACAAAAATTCCTTGGGGGGGAGGAGGGCGTGGTTGGTAAACGTAAAAGGCGTGCATTGTTTGCGTAAAAATACGGTAGATATAATTTTAATGATTTTTATATATTCCTCTTAACCATCTTGATACCAGGGGGAAACAAACTCTTCTGACCCTTTTTTAACTGGGGTAGACCTTTTCTTCTCTTAGATGCCACAAGTGGTTGAAGGAATATACCTTCATCTTCCTAGCAGATAAGGACATACTAGGCTTTTATTATGTGTCTCCTTCCCTAAAGGCTGATGCTGGTATATTGATCCTTTATGTGGAATCTTGTAGCACCGTTTACTTTATGAGTGTCTGACTATCTTTACTGACTAGTATGCAAGAAGGTAAAGAATGAATAAACTAATATCTGATATAAAAAAGTAAAGTTACTATGTTGAAGAATTAGACCTTGGTTTGCTTGTATTTCATCAAAACTAAGTGTTATGCTAAATGACTCATCCTTTGATTCGTCAAGTGTATTGAAATAATTGAACTTGACTTTCTGAGATGATTTTTTTTTAATACTTAGTGTCTTACTTATCTAGTGCTGCTATAACAGAAATTTATTTTCTCACTGTTCAGGAGTCTAGAAGTCTGAATTCAGACCACTGGCTCTAGGGGAAGGCTATCTCTCTCTGCTGGCTCTGGGGAAAGATCTTATCTCTTCAGCTTCTGTTTCCTGGTTCCTTGGACATCTCCGTATGGCTTGGTGTCTATCTTTCCCCGTCTCTGCTTGCTTAATCTGCTCCTTTTATATCTTGTAAAAAAATTGACTCAAGACACACCTTTCACTAACCCTGCTTCATTAACATAACAGAGACAACCTATTCCCAATTGGAATTGTAGCCACAGGCATAGAATTAGGATTTACAACACATATTTTCTGGGGACACAATTCAATCCAAATCACTTAGCTTTGATAATACTTACCGCTGATGGCTATACATAAATATAAAGCCCTAATTATGTTGCTTTTCATTGTTTCAGGTATTGTTGTTGTTGTTAGGTGCTGTCCAGTCAGTTCCAACTCACAGTGACCTTATGTACAACAGAATGAAACACCCACCGGTCCTGCGCTATCATAATCGTTGCTATGTTTGAACCCATTGTTGCAGCCACTGTTTCAATCCATCCTTCCAAAGGTCTTCCTCTTTTTCGCTGACCCTCTACCTTACCAAGCATATCCTTCTCTAGGGACGTGTATTAATCCAGTATTAATCCTTAGTAATAACCTTCTGATCTCTCACAACACATGCAGACATACATATGCACCTGTACACCCTTGCATGCTGTATATTACTCTCCAGATTCATGCTGACAGGGAGCATGGATATGTCTGAAGAGATTGGTGCATGACTTTTGGTATTTTTGCCCACAGCTGTTGTTTGCAGAGGTCAGTGATGCCTGTATTTCTGCCTGTTAGGCTCACTGTCTACCTGAAACCTTTGCTTCAAGAGGGGACCGCAGTGGTTTCTCAGCTGGTAATGTGCAGCTATCCCCTAGGCTTCCCGGGTGTGTTGTTTTACGTGCTTCCTTCTTAATGTGAGATTACATTTTTTGATAGTGATGTGACCCGTTCCAGTCTTTAACAGAAATAGCAAGTGACAATCATTTTTCAGTGTCTAACCCGAGGTGCAGATATTCTTTTGACATCTGTGAATTGAAAGCATAAAGAACATGACTGATATTACCACGTAACATATTATGGTGGTTAAACCTGAAGCAGACTGCCTTGCTAACTCACTTTGTGACCTGGGGTAACCTAACACCTCTGAGCCTCAGTTACCACTGTGTTAAAGGGGGAAAATAAGAATACCTATCATCCTGAGAATTATTGTGAGATAAAATGAAGTAATAAATAAAAATGTTTAGAACCTTGCTTGGCACATAGTAAATACTCCATGTTAGCTGCTAGTATTATTTATTGGAGCCCTGGTGGCACAGTGGTTAAGTGCTTGGCTGCTAACCAAAAGGTCAGTAGTTTAAATCCACCAGTTGCTCCTTGGAACCTATGGGGCTGGTCTACCCTGTCCTGTAGGGTTACTATGAGTCGGAATCGACTTGATGGCAACGGGTATTATTTATTATTATTCATTTAAAATTGAATGTAGAATTAATGAAAGTTGCAAGTTCTGAACTCCTTAGGAAAAAGATCGTTTGTTGATCTTGAAGGATAGCACTTATATCAGAATACTTTCGTCAACCTCCTGCTGTTAATATCTAGGGAAGTATTATTTATTCAGTATTTCTGATTACTAGATGGTAATGTGAGGCACTACTTTGATGATCACTTAATGTCTTTATCTGCTTCAGTTTTCTGAACTATCAAATGGAATCACATTTAAAAGCTAATGAAAGGTTTCTGGGTCTGAATAATATATAACCAATTCTGGATCATATACAGTTTATTTAAATTATGGAATATTAAGTACTTCCATCTTCTGGTTACCCATTTAATGTCTGGTTTGGCAGCAGAATTTTAGGAGCTGAGAGTGACCCAGAGACAGGATAATAAAATTCTGTGTATTTGTGCTGTGCTTTGGGAGTGTTGGTTTAGGCCAGGGAAGGGTGAAGGGCCCAAGACTGGCCATGTAAAGAAGGTGCTGGTGTAGCAGTGGAGAGAGTTGTGGTGAAAGCAAATCAATAAATATGAGTGGGTAGGAATTTGTAGATATCCAGATCAAACTTAAAATAATTTTGTATTATTCATGGTTTTAATTACAATAATGACTTATTCATTATTGTAGATAACTGAAAGGAAATAAATGCATTTGTAATTTTGTGGCACAGAAAAACTTCCAAAAAGCTGAACATTTAGTCAAACAACTTGCACTTGTTTCTTTTGTTCACAACCTATTATACATATTTACATTGAGATTTTTCCTTCATTGTTCCGGTTGTTTGGCTGATTAATTAGGTATAGACTATTAGTGAAAGACATGTTTCAAAACTAAAATAAATGTGAAAAAACAACTTGATTGTCCTATTGCATGTACTGTCTCAGAGTAATACTGAGAGAGCATAACATAACCTGCCATCTTTAAGTCAGACTCATTATACATTGGTTAATGTAGACTGATTAATGGACTGTATAGTAACTTGGAATTTTGGCTGGATCTCTAGTTAGTCAACATAGTGTCCCTGTAATTCTAAATATTTTGTTAGCAAGGGAAACGTAACAAGTAATGAAACATGGAAAAGTGTGAAAATGTGTCTTTATCTGGGGGAAAATAGCCATGAAGAAGAGAACTGACTGTCCAGTTTCTGAAATGTGTATGTGTGCGTGTGTGTGTATGTGTGTTTGAGTTACCTGTATGAGGCTGGACAATAGTGTTCTAAAAATAATAATGTGTATTAATCATACTCTTACATCCATAAACTTGCATGTAGACCCATTGCCGAAGCCAGGCACATCCACTCTCATCTGAATATAATTGCAGAGATTGCTCCGTGAAAATTCTCAGAGCAAAAGTACGTGTGACGGTTGTCAGAAAGAGAGACAGAGGAGTGGAAAGAAAAAAGGAATGTACTTTTAATACAAAACACATGTTGTTAATTCATAAATTAAGCAAAGAAATGGAGATAAAGCAACGTAAGTTTTATTGCTCATTCCTTAGCTGGTGTCATTGTCATTCACTCTGAAGGGTTTAGGTTTATAATGTATTTAGGCTAGAGGGTAGCTATAGTATTCCTTTTACTTTAAATGCACCTTGGATATGTAAAATGGTTGAGGACACTTGGCATCATTTTACTTATCAATGATTTGCAACCATTTTGTCAATTAGGCCAGCAAAACGTGACCCAATGGCTCTGGAAGGTTTAATCATAATACGTATAAAAATATTGTGAAAATACAGGAGTAAGAGGCAGCATATGTTTGTTTGATTCTCTGGGCTGCCTAATGTCAGAACTGTTTAGAGAGAGGAATATCATTTCTGACAAAACTCAGAGCTGTTCCTGTTTGGCTTAGGTTGACACCAAAGAACAGCCTTGATTGTTTGGAGAGTAAAAGCAAATCCCAACCCAATGTCATTTCCAATGGGCTGCTTAAAAATGGCTTCAGATGATGATATTGAGTAATATCCTTCAACTGCAGAGCTTCATATGACTTACTCAGACTCTTTCCATTGTCCAGCTTACCTTCTTTTCCCAATTTTTTTTTTTGAGCTCCTCTTCTAGAGACCATTACTCCCTCGTCAGTAATTTTTGTTCATTCTGCATTTCTGTAATATACTTATCACCTGATATAAGTTATTCTCATTCATAATAATAATTTAAAAAATTATCACTTCGTGAACACTTTCTACATGCCAAGACTTATACTATGTGATTTTGTGTTAATCAGTTCAGTTCAATTCCAATTTGGTTCTGACACCAGCGGCACATGCATTACTTCTTCCTCTGACCCTAACTGCCCAGCAGATCACAAGTAAAGGACATAGTCCTCCCGACTTCCATGTCTGCCCAAAACCTCACACGCCAGTCATAAATTTGGGGGTTCCTCCTACCCCCTCAGGGTACCAGTCTTAAGCTCAGGGCTCCCCAGCCTTCCTCACTTCTGACCTGCTGGCTCCTACTACTCCCT